GGGGGAGGGAAAGCCATTTTGTGTATCTCATTGAAATGTTTAATCCACTGTAAATATTCAATGGCCACTACGGTCGATGATAGCTGCTCAAAAAAAAAAATAATAAAAATAAAAATGCAGGCCATAAAGCATCAATGGATCAAAGGAGCTGCAATATGCGAATTGATTGAAAAATCGACCGACAAGAATAATCGTACAGCCCAGCACGTAGGCCACGCATGGAAATTGCACACATCAAAGTCTTTGAAGCATCTGACTGAACGATTTAGCTATCATTATTCCGTTTTATTCACAAACGAGGCAAATGGCGAAAAATTGCGCTGGCGGAAGTGCGCGAGAGGATGCATAAGAGTTTTATGCATACGCATCCGATCAAGTAGCGCGCGTTGCAGCATTAATAATGCTTTGTGCTTATACATTAATAAATTATGAAACTTGTCGGCGCATAATGAAATTCTGCAGTGGATTTAAAACAATCTCCAAGTTACACATGCAGCAGCGCAATTTAACAATATTTCACAACATATTTTCATCATTCAAACATTTAATAATCGCGTCGGCCGCGCTTTTCCATAACTTCCGTTGAACAAAATAATATTTTTCTGACAGGTCTTTTTCGTAACTCGCGAAGATTTTTTCACGGCTTTGCCAGAGAGCCGCGTTTGTATCGGAAATACTTATAATCAAATAGAGCGTACAATTCACTTTCGGGAATTTACATAATCATTCCCGCACGAGTCTGCTCGCGGTGTAAAAATTTATACGAATCTCCCTCGGCGCGCTTCGGCGCCAACGGCGAAATAATATGAAGAACTTTCGTCGACGAATTCCCGGAGACGCGCTCTTCCTCCGCGCAGCAGTAGACGGTGCAAACAACTTCGGCGAACGATAAAAATATGCCGGATGAAGTTTCGCGCTCGCAATTCTTGGTACGCGTTCAGCGGGAAACTGATTCTGGCCTATTATGGATTCACGACCCAATCAAGGGCGAGTAAACAAGGGGCGGGGCTGCCTTCACCCTGTTTGTAGTCTTACTCGAGGCAATAGAGGAGCAATTGTGCCGGCTTATCTAATAATGAAGAACCTCGCAATATTGCACTTTTCGGAGTCCACCGGATATTTATCGAGGTCGACGAATTCAATATACGATTATTAATCACTTTCGGAATTCCTCCCGGTATTAATCGTTCAGTTCTCATTGTTGATTTTTCTTCTTATCCAAGTTTCTAAAATTTTTATTTTACCCTGCGCGAAGATACAAATATTGATCTTTGTGCAATCCTTAAAATACTTTTATTAAGCATCTCTCTTTATTTTTGAGACTTTTACTTTGCGTGAAAGAGCCAACGGATATTGCTTTTTGCTCTTCATTAAGATTGTATCAAATGTCGAAAAATGCGACATTTCATGAAATAATCGTGAGCGACGAGATCAATTACTAAGGATGCTATTTTTGCCGTACGACGAAATTCTCGGATGTCGTTTCGAAGCTTTCGAAGAGTGTTCTGAGAACGAAACAGAGGGAAAATAGATAGGTAGTCGTTCTCGGACGCACAATGGCCGAGACTGTCTCGTTTCGTTTGAGCAGAGCCTTTAGGCATTCATCTAAAACTTCGCAGTGCATTTTTCCCGGAGTGCTTTGAGCAGTGCATAAACATAAGGTTTCGTCTCGTAAATTTCGCCCCCGAGCCGTGTTTGCCCATGAATCTGCAATTCATGCGTCGCCAGTCGCGTTATTGCACTACAGTCCGCTCATGTTTGCGAAACCACTATGTGGCGCGTTGCGTTCGCAAAATTAAAAAGTGTGTCCAAAACGAATGAACGGATTCAGCGAATTTTTTTTTTGTTTTGTAAAATATTTCTTAGTATATTTATATCTGTATTTGGAAACATAATAAACTTATTTATCATAATAATACTGACATCGACGAAGAGAAAGAGAGTCATGTGATAAGATCTTGCATACTTACGAAAGCTTGGCTGAGAACTACGAACAAAAGAAAAGAGAGTGCGCCATAAGTTGACCCTATGATCTTCATATTTCACTTCCTACGCGTATATATACGCGCGCGGAGGGGGGGGGGAGGGAACGCATGGAAACGCGAAACCGAGGAAAATTCGCCGTCCGCGCAATTGGAGCCAATTACGATCGATGCGACACATTCGTCTAAATCGCGACCGTCCGCGAATGCGAAGCGCGCGGGACGCGGCGCATCCTTCACCGTTATGCTTGTGCGTCGCGATGCGGCGCCGCGAAGGAGAAATCCGAAGACGCGGATAACGTCTCGTCGTCGGTCGGCTATTCGTTCTCGCGCACTCGTACTTCCGGAAAAAGCCACCGTCGCGCCGGCTGACACCGCCGGCCGGGCGCAATAAATTACCGCGGGGACAACGGGCGCGAGCGCTCTCCGTGAATTTCCCTTATCACGACGCACGTGACCGAGTTTGCTCGTAACACCGGTATATCTTGGAAACCCGGGGTGCCCCGCAGAGAGAAGGAGAGTCACTACGGAAATTCGCGATACTGGCAACGCTCCGTGTCTTCGAAACCCTTGCTGGCCGTGTCAGGTAGAAAGAGTCCCGCTGACAACAGATATTTTTAACATCGATATTTCATCTTCGCTATTAGCCGAGTGTCGATATTGCTATTATTCTGATAAAAATGCCTATACTGCTATCGATAAAATTTTTATTTACGTCGTCAAAGCACGCGTCGCTCGCTGACATCGAGAGGATTAAATAGCACTCTGTCAACATGATAAAAATAATAGCTTCTATTTTTGATTCATCGGTCGTTTAATGTTTTAAAAACATTTTCGAGTTTGCCGCGCGTTGCGGCGCAATGCCCGACAAATAGTAGCCATAATGGTCGGGAACCACAGCGGAATATTTTCAGAATCGAAGATAAAACAAGACGTGTTGCATAAAAGAAGAAGAAAAAAAAAAAAAGAGATGCGGAGAAAATTTATTCGATCGAATTTTGCAATAATTTTTTGATTTCCCCGTCATAAAGCGCATCTTCTAAATTGATTTTATTGCTCATACATATGAAAATACCGTTACATATGCATATACAATGCAATATACGTTCAGCCGGCGAAATAACCGATAGGTTATTTTACAACATTTATTCCCGATAGCTCGTCGATACCGCGTGCAAATCCGCTTAGTCCTCCGGCTATTTCGTCTAACGATCCAAATTTTTGCGCGAATAACCATTTCGGTGATACGCATTTGCAGGTTTTTTTGCCTCCTCTTCTCTCTCTCTCTCTCTCTCTCTCTCTCTATTTTTGTTATATCAGTGGTATCAGTAATTTGATATTCCGCGAGTTGATTCTGCGCAGCCACGATTCAATGTATTGGGATTTTCAGCGTGTAACCGCGACGCGACGGGCCGGTCGCCGCCGATCGCGTCAGATGAATTTATTAGCATCGTTTATTAGGAGAGATTATGTGGTCACGTTACGGTGAATGGATTAAAACGGCTCTGCGTCCGCCGGCGAAAGTGCGACACGCGAAATTATCTTATCTGGGTCAACCAGGCTATAAACTATCGGCGGGTAATTATCCGCCGCGGCTCTCGATGAGCCCGCGCGGAATTTTCGCGTGAATTTTCGAGCGGCCAGCGCTCGATTCTGTGATTTATTCAAGATGACAAACGAGTCCGCGGAACGAATGCGCCATTTAAATGGCGAAATTGATTAAGTGGAATCGAGTACGTGTGTGCGTCTCTTCCTGTAATGTTTTTTAACGACTTTTCCGCCGATCCGCGGCGATTTACTCGAGCGGCGTAAATAACAGATATAATGGCGACACTCGCAATATAAGCGCCGGTCGAGAGTGGCGCGCTAAAGGCATAATTTACGGCAAAAGTGCGATCCGTATCGCCGCGAGTATTGATTCTGCGGAGCGAATGGCGCCGTGGATGAATAGAGTCTCCGATAGTACGGAGCGCGCAAATGGAAAGAGCTGCTTATTAAGAATTTGTCTTGAATACTTTTCAAGCTGCCTTTCACTTCAATGTATCTAACGATGAATATTAAAAAGCTCTGCGAGGAATGAACAGCCATCGATTGACAGCGAGCTTTTGCTAAAAAAAGGAAACATGATTCCGATTGAATCTGTCACACCTGCAGACGCAAGAATCCGATAACAATGAAATAATTCCAACGAAATAAATAAATGATAAATGAAGAAAGAACGATTCCTCTAAAATGTGATTTAATATCTACAATTTGCATGATAAATTTCATCTTATTATTCCATTTTATCACATTTAAGATGTTAATATTAAAATTTCAGGTGAAAATTTTTTACTCTATTTATAATTGCTAGCTTAGAATTTCGTTTAAATTTTAATAAAATTTTATGAACTTTTATGTAGGTATCGCGTTAAGCGAGATGGTGTTTCTGAAAAATTCGAACTCGTGTTACGTATCACGCGAAATGAGATGGCGAACAGCACACGTTTGATTTAATTGCGTACTTTAACCACCTGAATCGCGATATTTCTGCCGGTCTGCAATTACGGCGGCCGCTCGGGAAAAATTACCAGCAAGAATGGGGAAACAGCCGCGGCGGAAACAGCGGACGGGAGGAGCAGCGGCGGGAAGTGGATAATGACTCCGCGGCGCTTTTCCGCGGTATCTGCGCCGCGGTCGGATGGTAGCCGCGCGTTGCTCTGTGCAGTAACTTTCTAAATTATTGCCGGCGATTTGTTTGTTCCTCCTCTCCTCTGTCGGACTCGCGCCGCTTGCCCCGCGAATCGGAACTGCGCGGATTAATCGGCCCAAGTGTCGCGGGTAAGCGATTAATTATAGACGTTAAATCGGCGAGATATAGGGGACTATCGGAAAATACTCGAAATTCGGAGAACAAGTGGATTCGCGCGAAAGCGCATCTGGCGCAAGCGTTGATTTTCGTTCGCGATATACGAGCGAGTTATTTAATCGCGCGATAATGGGCGACAAATGTAACCGATCGATGATTTCTCTTTGCAGGCTTGCGATTTTCTGGGCATCAGCAAGGAGTGCGACTACTTCGGGCTGAAATACCAGAATGCGAAAGGCGAGGAGCTCTGGTTAAACTTGAGGAACCCTATAGAGCGGCAGACCGGCGGCGGCGTGGCGCCTCTAAGATTCGCCCTGAGGGTTAAGTTTTGGGTACCGCCTCACCTGTTGCTGCAGGAGGCCACCAGGTAAGGAAAATTAATTCATTTGAATCGCGCAGCTATTCTTCGAGAATTTCTATCGCGATCGACTGTACAAATCCAAATATTTTTCACATTTTTCTGCTTGAAAAGCAATCGTTATATCTCTTTTTAGCAATATAAGTATACGAAGAAATTGCAATTTTTGTAAGCCGCGGAAATTAAATTGTAAAACTGCACTCGGCGCTGAATATCTCGATCTCAACAGGATCGATATATCTTCGTACGATTTTCTGATGACACGATAATTTTGGTAAAGCTTCCATTCCGCATTTATGACCCTCCGTCTCGAGGGTCGAGAGGGATTTGCATGTAATCTTGTAAACCGCTCCGGTTTCGAGGGACCAATATTCGTTGTCCCTTCGTAGCAGGTTGAGACGAAGGGGTGGTTTACACGCTTTGAGTGATAGATGTACGATCCACACGATTGGTTCGTATCCAACCATCAATGTAATTTCAAGTGACAGCTTATTTCGAAAATTATCACAATATTATTCATTGGTCAAATTAAACGTCCATGAAATCTCTAACGGACTCACGATAATCTTATAATGAAAGTTTTCTGTCAATGGAATGCTCTTAATCTCCGATAAAGCTCTTAATCCGAGCATTCACGTTCTTCTTCCGCAATAAATTATCGGTAATTGAAAGGCCAATCCTCCTCTTTGCTGTCGCCGCTACTTTAATTACAGTACATTTGCATACGTCTTTTATCATCTCGCTGTAATGAATAATATCGAGCAAACTCTTTGTTTAATTTTTGCATGTTTATGCGGGGAATAATCAGTTTGCAATTCGATCGAAGTTTCATTTCACAATGTTTATTACATGATTACGGACTTGGTTGATCCAGTGCGAACTCAAATGTGATATCGCATTCCGCACGCAGTTCATAATAATACATAATAAATCTCACGAAGGCGAGAAACTGCGGCTGTATTTTAAAATTAGCATCCGGCACTATAAATACGAAATGAGCAACTGTCTCGGGAAATATACGTCGCGTTCGACCGGGAAAGCAGGTAACTCGTTTTGTTTGAAGTTCTGATTGGCTCGTTACCGCGGCGCGACGCCCGCGTATTCAAAGCGAATGTCGCGAACTCTCCGCGGCAGTTGCGAATTACGTTTGCTGTAATCCGCCGCGCGGGTGCACTCGTGCAAACGCAACGGCGAGAACGAGACACGGCGGCCTTCGTCCGAATTGAAAATCGTTTCCGCCGTAAAAATTCCTCTCCTTCTCCCTCGCGGAGAATCCGAGCGGGCGAAAGAAAGACAGAAAAGAGCGCATCGATGAAACGGAGAGAGAGAAGGAGGGAAACCGAAAGCTCGTGCAATCAGTCGGATTCCTTGAGCGCGATCCACGCGATCCATCGATCCTCGAGCGAGCACGTACGAAATTGCATGCTGGCGTCGCCGTGGGAGTACTGATTGCATCCGGGGCGATATTGTGTTGCTGGATGTGTTTTCGGGTTCGCGCGGATGCGAAGGCGATGCGCTTCTCTGCGGGCGAGATACACGGTAAATAATGTTATGCACGGCGCGCCGTTACGACGTCGATGCGATTTATTTTGAATTATTTGTGGCATTTGTATCGAGAGGCGCCTCTACGTGACATTCCGCGACCGTGCCGCAATACAATCGCCGCGCGAAATTGGATGGCGCCGAGTGAATCATAAAGGGTGCTTAAAGTGATTTCGAATATTTCTTATTGCGAATGTCTGTCGAGCGAAATCATACTCGACAATGGGAAATTTATTTGCGCGAGTCGGCTTACTTGATAAATAGATTTTAATCTCGCAAAATAGAGTTTAGGAATCGAGCGGCAAAAGTAAATCACGTCGGATATATAGTTGTAATATTTGATTCGAACTTTGCACCGAGGATAAAAATACTCCTCGTTCGTATGGTCGAATTTCGAACGGTGATAACATGCTTCTGCAGCCTTCACACACGCGGAACTTGAACAATTTCTGGAACTTCTCGCGGTTCTCGCAGAGAAAAAATTCTCGGCACGATGGTCTAGCAGCGACGATCCGTGTTCCTGTCGAAAGTTTCCGGCGAATCCGTGCAATTAAACGCAGTCCTCCGGTTCGGTTCTGATGAATAGCGATGCCGGCGGGCGCCGCAGATTTCAACGGATCGAAACGTAATTCCAATTTAATCGCGGTCGCTCGAATTACTCCGCATGGAGCTAAATGCGCGAAGAGTAATGCATCCGGCATGCGAATTAATTCGTCGCCGGGTACCGCGACGATGCTGCCGTAATTGCGCCAGCTGACGCGACGAACTCTCTCGCTGTCGCGCTCGCGTCCGGCAATGTGTATCCGTTGGATTTACAACAAATCCTTTTCCTCCTGTGTGTAATGTATGTGGGCGTGGCGTAGACGAATGTCGAGCACAACTCTCGTGTAAGTACTTTTTTTTAAAGAAGCAATTGATCTCCAATTAAATTTAGCAAAATGAGAGAAACGACTAAAAGTTTGGCATTCTTCGCATCTTTAAAAAATTGAATTAATCAATGTTGAATCTTTGGCGCTATAAATTTATCGCGACATTTAGTTTTCACGGTGCGAATTTCCGTAACATTTATTATATTTTCATTATGCATAACACAACTAATATTAAATGCAATTTTCCAGCGAAATATAAGAACTCGTTTAATCAAAAGAAACTTTTTTCAAGAGAAATTACGCTTTTGCGCAAGCACGCGTGACGGGGTTTTACGCTTAGTCCGATTACGTCTCGGCGAAAAAGCCGATTTCACAAGCTTCTCTGGGAGCCGCAACGTAATATCCTCTTAATCCACAGAATTTCGACGTCTCTCTTCGCGTTGACGTGTGTCTTTTAACGCTAGTTGACCGCTAGCTGCGGTCAAGCTAAATTCAACCGAATAAGAAATTCATTTTTCGCGGATTAAGACTGCACTTCATAAATTAATCTTTCAATGCCTGCGCGGTGGAGCGAAATCGTCGTTTAATTATTTCAGCTTAAATTAGATGTATCTTAATTACAACACGGGTGCTTTTAACCGGCGGCAAATTGCGGTTGATCCCCCGGAAAGCGCGTAGATATAAGGGAATTAATTTCGGATGAAATTACAATCTTGCCATGTCGCGGCTACCTTTCCACTCCCGCTCAGGATATCTCGAGAATCACGTGTGGCGAAATCTGGGCGGAAGGCCCGGGGCGAGATATAAGATACCGTAGAATTAATCTGACATGGGTCAGATTTAATTGCGTTAGACCGCGTCGTCGTGCACGGCGGGCTTAGCCCGGGAAAGGGAACCCGGTATTCAGGGACGAGAGGATGCCGTCGAGGGTTTTTGCAGAGTGTGCCGGCGACGTGCCGGATACATACTCGGTGTGCGGGTGGCATTAATACGCGCTTCAGCACAGTGGTTGGTGTGCGACGTTCGACCGAGCAGTCCGCAGCACTGCTTCGCATCGCAGATGCAGACGATATTCTGTTGTTTCCGCGCCACACTATCGTCACGCCATCGACGAGAAGATAGCTTGTAACCGGCGTGTATAATTATTCGCGTCGAGATTAACGGTTCGTGGCTCGTCGACATTCCGGTAACTCCGTTATGGCAGACTCGTCGGCGGTATCGACGCGGAGATGCATAATAAGCTCGTAAAAACGCAAAGTGTCGCGAAACGAGAACGATAATCTTTTCTTTTTTTTTCCGAGAATGCAATGCACTTCATCATCATACTTCATAGCGTAATAAATCATGAAATATCTCGTCAATTATTTCGCGTCGCCGATTTTATCCATGATTTATTGCTGTACATTTTTATCCGTTCAAAAAACACAATTCTCCGATCGCAAATTTGGACTTTGTTCGACGTAGAAGTATCACGCGGACGGTCGCGTTTGATTTATCGACGATCTACATTTCATTTGTAGTGACGTCACGACTTCCCCCTGTCACATTTCGCCCGTAAATTTCGGAAGATATACGGCGCGAAGTAACACTTCGCTATTATCGCGTTGCGAGAAGATCGATAATTAAAAATATAGTTGAAAATCGTTGAGTCAATATTTTACGGTTGACATTACATGAAAAATGAAGCTAACAAATAGCACAATTAATTTTGTAAGAATTTCTCGTAATAATGACACACTTTAATAAACGCATTGTTTGTATTTATCGATTTTTTGCCGTGAGTGGATTGAGAAGCGAGACTCTATTGCTCTTATTAATTCGCATTAGCGAAACGCCGTCGCCAGGATCGTCTATCATACGTCGCAACGGCAGGAGGGATCGCTCCAGCCATTTCTTCTACAAAGTCGCGACGTTGATAAAGACAAAGTGTTTCCGTATCCGAGGCGCGGTCGGAACTCATAGTTATCTGCGAAATTACAACCGCGACTCTTCTCAGAAGAATATCACAATGCGCAAACCGTTTGTCATTTTGTTCGTGCCGTGAGATTCCGAAGATTTGCATTTGCGGGGGGAAAAAAACTTGCGACACGAACGCGAGGATTATACGAGGTCGTTATTCATTTTCAGCGATCGTTAAATCGTTTAGTGACTACGTAAATTTCAATATTAATGCAGACGGAGTGATATGATTGCCGTAAATATTGCGAACATTTATGAAACTACTTCGATCTCAGAGATCTCTTTATCTTAAAAATATTCAATAATTAATTGCAGTTGACATACTATGCAAAATTAAGTTTTCGCAAATCGGTACGTAGATAGATATTCGAGAAGACACGAGTTGTTTTGACAAAGAAAGAATAAGTGAATAACGATTAATAAATAATTGCCATTAACACTTGATAATGTGACTATTTGTTGCGCATGTTAACTAAATATTACAGCACGTAGCGTAAATTTACACGAACATTTACGTGGATGATAGCTCTGTTGTTGGCGCTAGATATTTTGCGACGAAACCGCATTGTGGTTTTATAAATATCTCAATGTTTACCGCACATATTTCAAACTATTTTACTACTCGTCCGCTTAGCCAAG